TGGTTCTCAACCTTTTTAGTCTCAAGGCACTTGGTGTTAGATTCAAGGCACCTCTCAGAAAATGCCAGCTCAGAGACCTGTGTGGGTCTGATTTTAAAGGCCCACTTCCAACCTACACCAAATATTATACAACTGGACCTGAACCCACAAACCGTATTAACAACTCTTCTTACCCGCAGACTGACCGGACCTGCTTTAGGCAAACCCATAACCCGACCCACGTGGCTGACAAACGCATTAGTTCAACTTGGATCTGCAGAGTCTGTATAGATCAGGTGCTTCAGTGGGACCGTTTAGCACTTATATCTAAAGCTGATTCAATTAGCTATTAGACAAAAGTACCAAAAAAGCCTCGCTAAAGTGCCTGATCTATATAGATGGGTGAGCTGGGTCTAACTAATATGCTGCTTTTTCTGGGCATGTGTTGGGCAGCTGCTGACAGATGTAAAAAAAAAAGTGCTTTACCAGAAGCAGCAGCACATTACATGTGTTCAAAATAGCTGCAAAGGAGATTAAACAAAAGATGGATCAAGGTGCGACACTCTGGGTGCCCTTCAGGAATCTGCAGCCCACAGGTACCCTTCAGGAACATGTGACACACCCTCAGCTATCTTTTGCTTGATCTCCTTCACAGCCATTCTTCCTTCTTTATTTCATCTCATTCATGCTGCTTCTTCCAGTAAAGCACAGTTTTACTGTCAGCAGCTGGTGGTGAGGTTTACCAGACCCACGTCTAACCTGAAAAAATAATTTTCAGACCTGTACCCAAAATGCAAAATGTGAAGTAGTTTACATTCCCACCTAAACCCTACATGCTTTGTGGGTCACTCGTGGGTACCCACAGGTACCCAACCTGATGCAGGACTCTATGCCAGCTCCCAGTTTTGACTTGTCTGACTACAGAAAAATACTAGAGCAATTCTTTTGTTACAAATACCATTCTTACTCAAACGTAAGATAAGGATCCCCCCCCCCTCAATTTAGCATGGGGAAAAAAGCCCCTTGTCTTATAATCATATACAAGGAAATCTCACTAAATACACTGTCTATCGTTAAGTTGCTGCCAAAAGCAGCATGTGTTCAGCAATGGAAACCAACTATGAAGCTGACTAAATGCAGCCAACACTGAGCATAACTATAAAATACACGGCACACGTTGGGCAAACATGCTCATGGCAACCGTGTGTGTGTCCCTTTAAAAAAAATAAATAAATAAAAATAAAAAAAATCAGGCAGTTGCCCTCCTGAGAGGGGACTGGCACAGGGCCTGGAGATACTGTAATACCAGGCTGGTACCAGGAGGGCCAGAGCCAGCCCTGACACCCTCCCCTTGTTGCCAAAAATTGCTAGATTTGGTCTTAGCCAAGGCAGTTATGGAGTTCAAAGGGTTGGAGAAGGGGTGACTGGGTATGACTTCTGGGCGGGATGTATTTCAGGCTGACTCTCTCCATGGAGAGGAGGGGGATTATAATTTCTTCTCAATCCAGAAAAGGGGTGACCCCCTGGGGGCTGGCAGAGATTTCTTCACTGTGTGTGCAGGGTCCAGTGCAAGGGAAGTGGAAATGAAGCATGCTGGACTAGGGAACTATCCCAAGACAACCTCAGTCTGTTCCTTGAGGCAAGTGGCAGCACGTGGAAAATAAACTTGGAGCTCCCCAGGGGCCACTCTGTGACACTGATTACAAAGCATCATTCTACAGTCTCATGCTTTGCCTTATTATAACTATATTCAATCTCATCTGAGAGGAATCAAACACAGCACCACCAATGAACAGTGTGGGCTGAGCATGGAAATACTGCAGGCAAGGCAATGCAGTCCCTGGAGTCTCTAGAAGCCTCCAGCGATAAAAGACAGACTGCTTTTATTTGGCTTGTCTTTTTATTTTAAATAAAGCAATAATCGGGGGGATAGGTTGCTGTACAGCTGCCGCTTGCTCAGCAGTTGGCTGTCAGGAACGTGTTCAGCTGACATATCTTTGTAAACCCACAGAGGCTCACACTTCTCTCAGAATAAGCACTAGTGCCATTCTAACAACTGCAGAAGCAACGCTGGCAACCCAAGGATGAAAATATCCCACAAGGAGGACATGGAAAGGAAAAGAGCCCAGAATAGCAGGGCCCTTAACTACTATAATTATCTAGGTGCTAAATGAAGAGCTGCTGCGGATGGGCCTATATGTAATGATGCAGCTAGGATAAGTATTCATGTGTAAGGTATAAACCTGCTGTTAAATCATCAGCTGCTACATGCGCCAATGTGTATTAAGAAAGTCAGTCTAATTTTTTTATTAGCTGCTGCAAAAAATATTTGAGACCATGAATCTCTCTGGAAATCTATTTAAAAAGCGGTCATCATAAATGTGTGACTCATCTGTGGCCATATAGGTACTTCACACTTGTCACAGTGCAGAACAGCGGAGCTGTTCAGAATTGCACTGCACTGAACGCGGGTAGAGCACAGACCCCCTTCCACTCCACAGGCACCAGGCCTTGAACCCACAAACTACAGGTCAATCTCCAATACCTGCTAGTAGTATTGGGCTTAAGGGACACAGTTTTGATTTTTTCCAGGAGAGCAGTGGGAGCCAACTTTTTTGGTGTCACATATTAGCCCCTCACCCACTCTGAGAGCCACTCCGATCCCTTTCCCTGACCCGATCTGCTGCTCAGCTGGCTGCTGTTGGTAAACAAGTTCTCCGAGTTGAATGCATTTTTTTTTTTTTGTATTACTTACAGGCAATTAAGACACCATTCCAAGCTGGCTCCTTCACTCCCACTCTTCTCAGAAATTGGGTTATATCAACATTTAAAACTAAATGGGTGCAGCTCCCACTTCAAACCCCCGCAGCAATTCCACAAGCTACAATTCTAGGCTGAATTTACCAACTTCAGCTCTTCAGCAGCACGGTTATTGAAAGCCTGGGTAACACTGAAACTTGAATAAAAGGGACCCACCGACGGACCACATCCAGTCCCTCCTCTATTGTAGGTAGCCGTGTTGCAGTCTCTGTCCCTTCACCTTAAGCTTTGTTTTCCGCTTTGCCCCTAATGTTCCACTGCAAGGCCATTTCACAACCTCAGTCCTCTTATTCTAAGGAACCATCTTCTTATTTCCAGCCTAATTTTGTTCCTGGCCAATTTACAGCTATTTTTCATGGGCCATCACTGTCCTTTAGCTTAAATAGTAGTGCTTCCCCTCTGATGTCTAACCCCACCCCATGTATCAATAGAGAGTAGCCATATCCCCTCTTAGACTTTTATTTTCTAGGCTAAATAAGCCAAGCTCTTAGAGTGTCGTCTCATTTGATAGGGTTTTAGTTTCCCTGAACTCCCTAGTTACCCTCCTTGATGTAGTAGTCCTTTCTTTCAAAATTCTGGCATGGAAATTAATCTCCCACCTGCCTTAAGCTCTTTAAGGTTTGGTTCCACCTTGGTTCTGGTAATTTCATAGAACCATAGACAAGTAAGACAGCAAGAGATCATCTAGTCCAACCCCCAAATTATCCCTATCCAAACCATCCTATACAAATCCATTGTCTAAACTCTTAGCAAAACTACAGTCAACCCTGACACAACACAAGACATAGCCTAACCTGCCATAGGTAAAGCAAGGGGACCATGGCAGCCAATATCCTGCTGCTGTTAATATACACTCACGAGATCCCAGGTGGAGGACCATGCTCCCCACTACAGAGAAAGACCAAAGCCACCATGGTCCACAGCAATCTGACCATGGAGAAAAAATATTTTCTTACCCTAAATATAACTATTGGCCTGAACTTGAGCAGAGGGGCAACCCTCTACCCAGGAACCTCTGTATTTAAATCCAAGAGGTTTTAAATCCCAGCAGAAGCACTGGCACAACCCAGTCAAAATCCCCTGTCTTGGCCACAGCCAACACCCAATGCCTCAGATGGCGGCTTAAAAAACACCCCTGACACATGTAGCACTGTTGCAGGCGGGGGAGTTCCCTGTAAGCCCCATGCAGCAACCAGCAAAGCCAAGAAACATGGAAAATACCCATTACCATTTCCAAACCCTCATTTCCATTACCCATCTTGCCTTTGCCTCCATGGTCAACATCATCCTCCACACTGAAAGTGTTGCCAAAATATGGTGCTGTCCCTTTCCTTGGGGGTATTTCAGACAAGACTGGACAAACACCTGGCTGGGGTCATCTGACCCCAGCACTCTTTCTTGCCCAGGGCAGGGGGTCGGACTCGGTGATCTAATAGGTCTCTTCCAACCCTAAAATCTATTAAATCTATGAAAGCAGAGACCAAGCAAAGATTTTGGGCCATTATCTTTCATCACTATTCCACCTGCACTGCAGAGCTTCCCCACTTCTTTCCTTGTTTTCCCTTTACTTATGGAGCTGGAGAACATTTTAAAGCTTGTTTTTATAATATCCTTTCCAAAGTCTAAGTCTAACTTTTGGCAATTCTTCCTAGCCTACTCTTCTTTAAGACATTGTTTTCTTTGCTGATCAGTCCTTCTTCCCCATTCCTTGTGAGCTCTCTGCTCATCCCAAATATGCTTACTGAGAAGGATTATCCATCCAGTCAGGTCTGGAACCCCTTCCTATAGCTCTTTGCTTGGGATATAAATTCCCAGTAGTTTTAGCATCTTTGACGTGAACAAATTCCTGAAGATATTCACATCCCTGAGCTTCTCAGTGTAGTTGCCTTCACTAACTAGTCCCCCCACAATTACGGACCCACTTCTGTTTCTCCTTCCATTTCATTTCAACTGTAGCAGGTAAGCAGCATGCACAACAATGCTGCAATCTTAGCACCAATGGCTAGAGCCTCAGGTAACCAGAAGCTCCACAGCTATTTCCATGTCAATACATGTTATGGAGCATTGCAATAATTCTTCTGCTCCTCTCTACACATCCACACTTATATATTAGTTTACATTTGCTATGTTTTTTACCATGTCAGTAAATCTGACACCAGCTCAACAAGAACACAAGAAGGAACAAAAGTAGCAATACTCACGATTTGTCTCTTCTGCATGCCCGTCTCTGAGGGCTGATTTGCCTTCGGCGAGGGGACAATGACTTACCCCGTGATCTGTCTTTTATTGGAGAATGGGCACTTGCGGGTTTCAGAATCTAACAGAAGGGGGGAAAAACAGACACTAAATAAAGACATTTATTCAGAGTTTAAAAATAAAGGCCTTGTACAGTAGCAGGGAGCAGAGATAGTACACAAAAGGCCTTTAATCTCAATGTTTTTTTGAACCCTGCCTAGGTTGGGAAGAACTGAAAGCCATTATCATGTGATGACTGCTCAGTGCTCTCTTGTGAAATTAGTTAGTGGCCTCAGTCCAGTTTCCAGATAAATTCACATCACAAAGAGCACCATCAAAACTGGCAATCACTAGAGAGAGACCTAGGACTGAGTAGGGATGGAGAACAACATGTCTTGTCTCCTAGAGATAGCTTCCCTCTACCCCACTCCCAACTCACGTGGCACATTGTGAGAGCAGCATGGGAGGATACCTGTACCTCAGGCATATATCCTGGAACTATCCTGTGGGCAAATACAGATCTTCAGTTACTTTCACAGCAACTACAGGCCATTTCTTAGTTGCCTTGTTCACACACAACTTCCAGCAGAGTGCCCCTTAAGCTGAAAACTTTCTTCAGTACTCAGTTCACATCTTTATTTTTTCGCAGCTTATCTTTCAAAGATATACACCAGTGACTCTACATACTGTGAACAGCTCCGCTGAAGTATGCAGCTGAAATCCTGACCTTGTTGAAGTCAATTCAACTTATTCACTAGGCTAAGGATTTCACCCAATGAGACCACATGTATGTGCTAAGTCATGTGTCCGCTTATGTCTTCATAAGATCAGAGCCTCTCGCCATCAGGACTATGCCTTTTCTATCATCTGCGCAAAGCTCTGACTCAATGTCAGAAGTCAGGAAAGAAACACAGGACTGATCCCCTTATCAGAGCAAACTGTATAAATGCAATAATAGTAATCTGTACTTTATCTGTGTAGAGTCCGTGTAGGTTATTAGCTCTCTAGAAAGGATTAAAAAAATGCATTGGCACAAGGGTTGGAAATCATTCTGAGTAACAACATATGCAATTAAACACGGTATGTTGAAATTAGCATATAACATAAACCTAAGATTTCATGTGATCATCTCACTTGCTCAGTTTAACACCAATTAATTTAGCCAATTTCATTGGAGTAACTGGATTTACCACAGTGAAGTAGTAGGAAGAATCAGATTCATTATCCTACACTTAAACTGCAGGAAGGCCAGCCTGTTATGGAGTTGTCTAAAAGAGCATGTCAACTGGCAGAAATCAGCTAGCTTCACTGAAGTCAAAGAGAACTGTGCTGCTTTACACCAACAAAGTGCCAGGCTCTTAATTTCGCTCTCTCTCTTTTTTAAATTGTAATAGTAATGCAGATTACACACTTTTCATCTCCACAGCGTAATAAGTGATCACAGTGGGACAGACTCAAGTGCAGTAGGTTCACTTAATGTTTAATCATGAACACTAGGAAAATTTAATATGCATCACAGAAGTGCAGGATCGCAGTACATGTCTCTTTGACATCCAGAGAGGCTGGGACATATGCTGCCCTTGGTTATACTGGCAAGTTCCTCTGGATTGACATTAGAGAAGACAGTCAGGCACTCCAGATATACACCAGTGAAACGGAGAGCATAAAGCAGCTCTCTGGCTATGCATGAAGACCAATCTGTTCATGACAATGTGTCTTTCTGCCTATGGCTTTGACAGACTGCAGAAATGATCCATTGCTAACAGTGCTTGTCAGCAAAGGGTCCTTTCTTCCTACCCCAAATGCCTACAAAACCTGTTTGACAGGGGGTGTTGATGGGGACAAATCTCTCTGCTATCACAAGAAATGAGCTAGACATTCAATAGGATGTGGCGTCTAGCACACTGCCAGGGAAAGGAAAGAAAAAAACAGATGGGCCTCAACCATGCTGGTTTCAAACTGAGAGAAAAGGCCTGATGTCAACAAAAAAATAATTTCCCTAGTGTATTCAGACTCCTCTTTGTGCACATCAAAAAATCACCCAAGACTGTCAAAGAGCAGAGGTGCTGCTTAGGATGGAGGGCTTCAAGCAGAACTGCCCACAGGCACCTACAAACAGCAAACCCAGCTGAAACAAGGACTGTTTAGTCCCTGGCTTTTTATAAACACAGCTACATCATCACTCCAGCATGGCTGCATATAAATACTTCTGTCCTTCGAGATAGAAGTGCCACCCCTTTTTTCCTTAGCCTATAAGGTGCCACCCTGCCCTGCCTTTTATTTGCCATCTCCCTCTTCTCTTGGTCAGTAAAAGGAACTTCGTTAGAAATGGTGAATGGGCAGCAGCAAGCAGCACAAGATCAGGAGAATGGCACTTGACCCCTTCCTGAAACACTAAAAGCTAGGAATGAACACCAATATTTAGGCAAGAGCTATTTGAATGATGAATGCAGGTATTGTGAGTGAATGGAGTGAGATCCACAAGTCTTTACATTCGTCATGCTCCTCCGCTAAACGCAGCCTGGATTACTTCAGTTCCTGCAGCCCTGTATTGCTCTGACCTCTATCCACGCACTTCTGTCACAGCATCGGCAGTTTTGAAGCAATTACAATTAGAGAATGGATCCTGCCAGCCTTATCAGGCAAGGAGTCCCATTGACTGCACGGTGAGATCCACATTTGTTCCACTGGGACTCTTTGTGGAAGTAAAGCAAGCAGGGTTGGATTCTTGAGTATCTCTTAAAAGAAATCAGGTGTAATGTCTTATAACACTTCCCCCTTTTATCACCTGGGGAGGGAGGGATATTTTAATTGAATAAAGGCAACATTGCACCAATTGGCTGGCTTCTCCATGCCATGGGAGGCCACTGCAAACTAATACCCCCTTGACCCGTTTAGGCAGGAATACAAGCTTTGCTGCAGCAGTTCTACCAAAGGGCAGGGATGCTTCCCAAGCCTGCACTGCAAACTCCCAAATCAATTCTGGCCAAACTATAAAGACACCACGTAGCTGCACAATCCAGTGATGGACCAAATTAATAACTGGTGTAGCTCTAATGAAGTCGCTCGAGTGTCAGAAAAAACTGATGTCATCAAACAAATGCTCGGGAAGGTAAGGTCTCCATTTCCATTGCTGTCTATGATTCATATATAGGCTATGCATAATTCACTGGCGTTAACTTTAGATGACCAATCTGGGTGAGGGACATGCTGAAGGGAAGAAGCCATGATGGGGTCTACAACCCCTCAGACCCTCCTCCCATTGCCAAGACAGTGGCAAGGGATGGCAGAGGCATTCAGCAGCTGCAACAAATGCACTAGGAAGTCTCCATATAAGGCAGAATTGCTACCCATTTTCCATGGTTCTAGCCAAAGCAGTGGCACTTATCTAAATGACAGATGCAAATTTTTTAGCACCATTTCACATGTAAGAAGCACTCACCCTCTTATTCAAATGATTCATTCTTCACAGGAGAAGAGGAGGAAAAAATACCTTGGAATTGCTTTCCAAAATAACTTGCACGTAATGCTCCATACCTCTCAGGAAAGAGATGCAGCCCTGAACTTTATGAGTGCACCTGCTTTACTCTAATTGCCAACAGATGGTTGGAAAGACATCAAAACCCATTTCTCCGCAACTGAAACCAGCTCTTCACCCACAGCTGTCTGGGAGGCACACTCAGGATCTCCAATGACATTCTCCAATTGAAATGCTCACCCCTTTGGCAACTGCAAACCTTTGTCTGCGAGTGTTTCTCTGTGCTCTTCAATCTGACTAGACTGCTGGCTCTTCTCAGCTGGCTAAGGATGATGCACTAATAATGTTGATAGAGGAAAGCTAATCTGTTTCTGATACAGCTGCTACCAGGGAAAGGCAAGACTCCAGTGAAAACCCAAAACTACATGCAGTGAAGGGGAAAAGCTGTGTCTAATAAATGACAGGGCAGAACTCATTCACCTGATACCTTAGAGACAGCATGAGTGCTTTAAGTACAACTCCTCTACAGACTTAATTTCATGTCTCTAATTGAATAAAGGCAACACTACACCAGTTTGCAGTGGCTTCCCATGGCATGGAGAAGCCAGCCAATTAATACCCCCTTGACCTAATTAGGCAGGAATACAATAACTCAGGAACTTCTCCCAACTCTTTCATGACAAGACCCACCCCAGGACAACACTGTTTTTTCCCTCTGCAGCTGAGAATGATCTGGGAGGCTGTTGCTGGTGTTTCTGGTAGCACAGAGGGAATAGGAAACAATCCTAAATTCTTTGCTGGGAAGTCACCGGGGATACAAAGAGTTGGCACAGCTGGTTCCTACGCCTGCTTCTCCACTGCAAAGGAAGTGGCAGGGCTAGATTATGATGCCTGGGCTACGCACAACTGCCAAAGACTACTTGGGGACCACTGTCAGTTGGTGCATATTACAGCAGCTTCGTGGTTGTTCTATTGTGCCCTGGGGGGCAGGGCAGAAGATCAGCAAGCCAGCCATGAGAAGATCTACAGCACAAATATTTTCTAAGCTGAAGTGGAGGAAACCCTAAAAACAGAGTTATAGAAAGCAGCATTTGAAGGCACAGTACAGGTTAAACACCAAGACACACACACACACACACACACACACACACACACACACACACACACACACAGAAGTTGGACAGACACACCAATAACCCCCACACATGCCTACAATTATAATTCCTTTCATACTGGTTTTACTCTAGGGAAAGTGTTGATATCACCAGATTGACATCAGCCAATCAAGATCAGACAGCTCCCCCTCAAACCCATTTACAGAAGTGCCACATTCACATGCACCTACCTTCATTCTCATATCCCTGGCATATTTCTCCAGCTCCTTCCTGACATCTGTCCGCATCATTTTTGATACGTTGAGGACCAGCTGCTTCCACTCAATGGGTTGAAAGCTGTGTGGCTCATGCGGGACATATAATCCGACTTTTACTTTCTTGACTGAGTGTAAATACTTTTTATAGGAGTCTTCAAATTCAAAGATGAGATCGCTCAGAGTTCGGTAGGTCAAAGCTTTGTCCATCAGATCTGATCTTCTGCTCATGCCCAGTGAGCCATACCGGCCATTGCAGTAAATCCCGAGCACCACATGATGAAAATAGTTCCCTGAGAAGTGGGTTTTAAAGCTGATTGGGAATCGTTCCACAGAAGGCTGCCCGTTGGTTAAGTATCTTTGCACGTGCTATGTCAAGGCAACACTGAACAAAGGTTGTGAAATGAACAAGCAGAGGTGTAACAATAAGACCACTAACAACTTCTACCCAAAGGGATGACAGAGCTTTAGAAACATTAATTCACCTCCAAAATACCCCTGGCCAGGGCAGGGCTGGTCTACATTAGGGAACTGCTGCCACCACAGCTTTGCTCCAGAGCAGTATTAACACAGCCCTCTAGTAAAGGCATAGCGAATGGCACAAGAAGGGTTTTTTCTACCAGCTTTGTTCCATCACTTAAACCAGCAGAGCTGCATCCAGATGAGGGGTTTTGCTCACATCACATGGGCATGTGGATCTTTTCAGATCCATGGCTGACATAACTGTGAGCAATACTCTGCAAGATAGATCAAACCTTGGTGTTATTATATCCATTTTACTGATTAGAAAATAAAACAGAGAACATTGTCAATTGCCCTGGATCATGCTGGAAAGGTCCTGACTCCCAGTGCCCCAGTACTCCTACAGTGCTAACAAACTAAGCAACAGGAAAATAAAGAGACTGATCTTGGGGATGGTGTTTTATTTAACACCAGTGCAAAATTCCTCAGCTCTGCACTCTCAGTACAGGACAAAGTCTTTTCCATGCTCTATTCTGAAGGTGAATGTTGCTCAGGATCTTAATATTAGGCTTTCAATGTTTCTACACCCTTTTTAGACACTACAGAAATACCAATCCATAGCTCTGGTCTTTGACAACTGAGTTCTAGTCTTCTCTACAGGAGTTTGCACTCCTCCAATTTATAAACTCACCCTTGTTCTGTCAACCAGTGGCATCAAGAGCTTTTAATGATCAAGTAGGGAATTATTTCCTCCAGGCACTGGCACAGAGATAATAGTTTCATAGTTTCTAGGGTCGGAAAGGACCTGAGCAGATCAAGTCCGACCCCCTGCCATGGCAGGAAAGAGTACTGGGGTCAAACAACCCCGGGGAGGTGATAAGGCAGAAGTAACCATGTTAAAACCAGAATGTGTTACAGAAGTGCTAGTCAGCTATTCCAAATGCAGCTTCAGATGTCTCCAGAAGCAAGACATGGTAACAGTGTAATATGCAATCCTACATGAAAACTGAAGTTATCTAGCTCACTTCCTCACTCCATGGCTGGGATCACTTCCTGAGGATCATTTTTTGGAGTGACTCCCTTCAGAACAGCAATCGTGTTGACTGACTCCAGGGCCAGCTAAATCCAACCATCCTTTGCCATCAAGGGGGAAGTGCCATGAGGCAGGGTCTTGAAGGAGGAACATGGAATATCCTGACATCTGTGTGCCAGCAAATCTAAAACAAACACAGACTTGGGAAGGACAGCAAGATCAGGTCTTGAGTTCTACATTGCAGGTTAATCAACACAACCTGGTGATGCCCAGCCCTTGCCTCAACATACCCAAGCCTCTCCCAAGGATTCCACTAAACCCTCTGAGCACTGGTTTCCTTTTCCTTCTGGCCATTATAGATTCAGCAGCTGAGGTTTCTCGCGCTGTTTTGTGTCTTCTCTAGCCACACCAACAGTTGATACCTAATGCCTGCCCTATTCCCTGTGTGCCTGGAATACCAGCTTCCAGCTGCCATGCCAAAGACTGCATCTGGGACCTTCAGCTACTTGGTTTAACTAGAGCTGTAAGCTGGTACAACTCACCTTTTCTGCCTGTGAGCACAGAGAGAGAGAGAGAGACTTGTAACAAAAAAATGCCAACTGGCTCTGTGTGCAATGGGCACAGACAGGCTTAGCAGCGTAACAGTCTGAGCAAGGGAGACACAGGGACTAGGAGGAAGTGCAGAAGACATGCTCTAGGCCAGTGTTCCTCAACCTATGGGTCATGACCAAAAGTTGGTAGCAAGAATATATGAAAGGGTTGTGAACAAACCTTAAAAATGGATTCTCCTTTAACGGAGAAAAACATGGGAAACCATGGCTTTTCCCTTACAGAGTTCCAGCCTGCAAGGGGCTGCTTGGGGTCCCCCATGCCCCACACACAACCCACCCTGCCCCACACACCCACCCCATGCTCCACATACTGGGGGGTGGGAGCTTGGGGGCAGTGGGTTGGGAGTGAGGGGCACTGGGTCGGGACTGGCCACTGATGTTTACAAATGAGTCCTGGTACAAAAAAGATTGAGAACCCCTGCTCTAGGCCTTCTCTAGCACAGGTAGGGGACATGGCTTTGGAAAAGGGAACAGCGAGGGCCCCACTGACCACCTGCTGTTAGAAAAGTCCTGAGCAGCTGCAGAAGTAGCCATGGAAGACCCTTAAAGAATGGCTCAAAGCTATATGGGGTGATGGGGAGACAGGCCAAGCACAGATCAGCCTGGTGTTCCTCTGTGTTCTTTCTTCATCCGTGTTTGTGTTCTTTGTGTACCGGCATGCTGTCAGGGGATTTTGTTTGCCGCGGCTGCTGGTGTTGGAGCATGCAATGTATTTCTCTGGAAACCTGCACGTTACACAAAAAACTGACCACAAGGCTCGGTTCAGTGGCAAGAGCTCACCCAGGTTTATTATCTACACAGAACCTACTTCCTAGCACGCCTGTCCAAAGGGTTACAAGATGGTAGCCCAGCATGCTGATGGTAAGGAACAGACATAACTCACAATTGCTTGTGCTCCTTAAGCCTAATGCAAGATTGAAAGATTTCCAGGCTTTCTCTTACACGTGAAGTAAGCAGTTCTGTTTACATCTGGCATTTACATTACAAACATCAACACCTTTGCACCCAATTACCCTAATCCTGAGACTTTTGTTATCCTCAGGTGCATTTTAGGCTTTTTGGCACCAGCCTTATTGATTAATCCTAACAATCAACACTGTTGGACCATCAAGATTACTTTCACAAGGACCCTGGTGGTTTGGAGTCATTCTTTGGTGACACCTGCTCTGGTTAATGTTCTTGGCAAAACATCAATATTTTTAGATATGTATCAATATAATATAAGCATCAATCAGTGCTTATATTACTCCTTACTCTGGTGAGGCCTCCACAGCCTAAGATCCAGAGGGATCTTTGTACTGTAGCCTCTCAGCACCCCAAATGCAGCTCAGGATCTGAACCAGGATCCTATCTGTTAAGATAGGACCAAGGGGATGACCCAGCAAGGAAAGTGCTACATATGCAATTACTGATCCTGAGCTCTTTAGCATCCCTCCTCCAGCCTTCACTGCCAACAAAGAAATTCTTTAACTCAAACAAGAGACATTACACAGCTGAAATGGCATGGGATGCTACTCTGAAAACTGCTGTCTGCCTGGAGCCTGCTATCCTCCTCCCTTTCTGCATACCAGGAGTGCCTGACAGCTACTTGGAAACTGGAAAGCACAAAAGACTTTTTACCAACACAATAAAGAAAAGACTTGGGGCTGGATGATGATCTCACTTAACCATGCCAGTATAACACCAATGAAATCACTGGCATTTCTCCTGAGCGACACAACTATAAACTCAGAATCAGGCACCTACTTTCTGAGTACACTCATACATTTACTGAAACATTGCCTCCTGACGCAGTTTCACTCAGCTGGCATTGGATGGTTTTCCCTTTGTGAGACCACTGCTTTTTCCAACTCTTCTGCTCTCAGTATAAGAATAGCTTCCAATCCCAAAATACACTGGAAAGCCAGCAGGTTCTTCTGGATCCAGAAGACTTAAGTCAATACCCCAAATGTCAAATCATTTGTGCAATGATATCCAGCACCTCACTACAATGGGTAAGCTCCTCTGCCCAATGAGACCACAGACTCGTGTAGTTACCCTTGGGTCAGAAAGCAAGAAGAGCCATCTTACAGGTGCCAAAAGCTCCCCAGTTCTATACGCCAAAGCCTTGGTACAGCCTTGGTGCCAGTGCAAACCCAGTCACCCCACTAAAATCAACAGAGAAAGACCAAATTATCCAGAATACAGCCCCTTCAAGAAGCGGAAGGAGCCGCTTGAGAAAGGAAAACAATGAAATGAAATGAAATGCTTAACATCCAAGCAAAGAATCTTATAAAGAGAAAACACATTCAAAGGAAAAGAAACAAACAGCACAAGATTTTCTGGCCTACAACCTCAGTGCACTAATAGAATCGTCTCATCAGTTAATCTGCACTTCCTGCCATATGGAAGGAAAAGCAAATGGGCTAACTTAGAACCTGTAAGCAGCTCAGTCGCAACACATGGTACAACAGGATAAGCCATGGCTGCATAAGTATCCCTTCATCCATCTGCTGCCTCCAGACTACATTAAACATAAATGCTGAACAGGGAACAGAAGGGACAATTCTGATCTTAGCTCTACCAGGGTAAATCAGCTGTAGCTCTATTGTACACTGCAGACTTGATTGTGATTCTGCTTACACTAGTCCAAATCAGGATTAAGCCCACTGAAGTCAGCAGAATTACCTTGAAGTCAGGGCCAATGCAGTCAGACCACATGAGAATCAGACCCACATTCACTCACATTAAAATGTCACCTAATTCATTTAAACAATAGGTCATAGATGGAATATTCTGTCTATAGTAATACCAAGTTACTGTAATTTTGTCCCCTGGGTATAGTCTTACAAAGGCCTATTGTATTTATTATTCTATGTAACTGCCTAGGCCAATGCTTTCTGCTAGCACCTATTAGGCTGTCAAGTATCACAACGATTGTTCCCTTCATTGTAAGAGGATTTCAACTCTGTTTCACTGAGCAGCCCTCTATTAAGTCCACACAAAGCCTCCACGACCACCTGCCCATACACACACTCTTCTGCCATAAAGTCTTGGAGAAGATGCAATTTAATCTCATTAAACTCTATGTAGGGGTAAAAAAAAACCTTTTGAGGAAGGAAATGGCTTTACTTATCATCAAATATCACAGCAACACCTGCTGTGGAAATTAACCTGGAGGTACATGATGCATCTCCTGGCTAATGAGAATCTCCACCAGGGATGAAATGCACAGCAGACTGGTTAGAAAGGCAACTCAGATCTTTTTCCCTC